GAGAGTGCACTTTACCTTCAGCTAACGTAGCACGGACGTGCCGGACGATGGAGTCTCCGATGATCACAGCATCGCATTCCACCTCGCGGAGGGGAGCGAAGCGGTTCCGGGTGGAGATCTCGAATGTATAAAATTGATTTTAAGAAAAAAAATTTATGACAGAATTAACTTGACGGAGCTCAAACTCAAAACACACGGCAGCAACAAACAGGAAGTGACGTATCTGCAGTTTATTACATTCAAGCATGTAAACGACCATTGAACAAAAGAAGAAACAGCATGGCATGCTTTTTCTTAGCGGCCGTTTCCATAGTGACTCATCGATTCGTCGCTCTGTTGAGTCTTAACCAGGAACATACTCGGAGTTGAATGAACTTACTCCCAAGGTCCAAAAGTCTGACACCTATAAAATGTTACACAAAATTTACCCTGTCAAGTGCTGTGTCCCAATTCATAGACTACATACTTCGAAGTGCGCATTTGAAGGCCGATTGCGTCACGGTGGCGCGACGAAGACCGTCCCAATTCATGATGCATCCTCCGAAGGCTGCATTTGAAGGCCGATTGCGTCACCGCGGCGCGACGAAGGCTGCTGCAATTCGAACGCGACTTCAAATACGTCCTCCGTTTCTCCATCAAATGAAGGATACATCAGATGGATCCTTCGCAGCCTACCCTATCCCAGAATTCATAGCGCGCCGGTGGCGACGGGACTTTTATTCAAACAAAATAACGGTGATGGTTCTGTGGCTGCCAACGAATACACTTATAAATGTAAGTATTGTGTTTTAATTTGCTCAAATAGCTAGCAAAACAAATGTTAAAAGTCAGGGGTCTTAAAAAATGTGAACAGATTCATTTGTTAGGTGGTCTGAGGCAAAATAACTTGTATTTATTAAATTAGAGGGCTGAATTTGATAATTCCTGTACTTAAAAACAAACTACTGGTCTACTAAATATGAAAATGTTAACTGGAAAAAAAGTATGGTCAATAACAAATAAGTTTTTTATTAATAATAAAATTAGAGAGGTATCCTATAAAATTGTACACAAAATTTACCCTGTCAAGGAGTTGCTTGAACGTTTCAATTTGAATATTGAAAACTTATGTGAATTTTGTAGCAATGCCAAAGAATCTGTGACTCATCTTTTTTTTTAATTGTATATATTCAAAAATTTTTTGGTTGGATGTTTCTAATTTAATTTCCAGGTTGTTTGGAACATATATACAAATTGATCTGTATGATGTAGTTTTTTTTTGTACAGGACAATGTTGATTCCAAAAGTACGATGTGCTTTCTTATACAACTTTTTATTTTACTTGGTTAATATCACATTCATGTGAAAAAATGGACTAAAGCTAAGCCAAACTTTGAACATTTTATAAAAGAGATTAAACATTATGGTACTACATTAGACAAAATTAAGAACAAAAAAGCAAGAAAGACCTATGAAGCTTTTTGTTACTTTAAATTGTTGTAATTTTACCCCTGGCATGAATCATTTCACTGTACATATTCTTATGTTTATTTGTTTTTGTACTTGTTGCGAGTTGTATATGCTTGTACAAATCTTTGTATAATTTTTGCATAAAAAAACAAAAAACAGAACTGCTAGATTTAAATCAGCAGCACAGCCAGCGGAGGATCGAACGCAACTGTTTTGAACGAGCGCACCTTTTTTTTAACAACCAAAAAATGGCTGTTTCTTTGTCTGTTGAGGAAGTACAGACGTTCCCTTTCGATACAACACTCTTACTGCATCTTGCTAGACGCATATGGGAAAAAGCCTTTTTTCTCCTGAACTGAAGCCTTTTTTCATTCACGCAGTGAAACTGCACGGCCATTGGTTCGAGCAGTGTATTAAAAACGAACCAATGGCTAGGCAGCGGAGCTGCATGAGCCTATGGCAACGAAGCCTGCCAAGCCTGCCAAAGCCCGCCAGAATGGGCGGGGCATCTGGCTATATAAGTGGGCGTTCGCCACAGGATTCTCAGATTTATTCTCCTTCAGCGACGACTCTACGTCTCTACGCTGATCCAAAGCCGCTTAGATCCTTGCGCAAATTCGCTCGGGGACTGGTTCTTTTCTCTGGACCTGAAGGATGCATACTTTCACATCCAGATAGCCCCCTGTCACAGGCGTTTCTTGAGATTCGCGTTCGAGGGAGTGGCTTATCAATACACGGTCCTTCCCTTCAGGCTGTCCCTGGCCCCCCGCACTTTTACGAAGTCCATGGACGTGGCTCTCTCCCCTCTGAGACAGATGGGAATCCGCATTCTCAATTACCTCGACGACTGGCTCGTTCTGGCCCAGTCGGAGGCAGAATTAATATCACACAGGACCCTCCTCCTCAGCCACCCAGAGTGCCTGGGACTCAGGGTCAATTTTGCCAAGAGCACGTTGTTCCCCAGTCAGCGAATATCGTTCCTGGGAACAATTTTCGACGAGCCGGAACGAACTCTGGCCATATGGAGGCTGGTGAGATTGGTTCCACTCGCCCTCTCAAAGTGTTTCAGAGGATGCTGGGCCTCATGGCGGCAGCATCTCCAGTGCTACAGTTGGGTCTGCTTTGTATGCGCCCCCTTCAGTGCTGGTTGAAACCATGGGTTCCATCCCATGCTCGCGTTGACACGCCTTCTCAGCTGGAATCGGGACCTCTCAACACGGCTGACCTGCTTCTCCGCCGCTGCCATCCAGGGATACTAAAAGAGCTACTAAAAGAGCTTGGCATTGTTGCAAATGCCACGCCGTTACTGCGGTTTGTGTGGGTCTCCCCTGCACGCCAATGATGGCCACACGGAGTGCGTTTCCTGCTTGGGGAAATCCCATGCGGAAGCTGCACTCACGGGAACTGATTGTTCTCACTGCGAGAACTTCAGTCTCGCCTCTCTTCGCTAGCGAACCACTTTCTTTTCAGAGAGCGTCTCCGCCCCTCGCGCCCCTCCCGTTTTCTTCCTCCCAGGGACCTGTGAGGAAAAAACAGCGGGGCAGAGGACTTGAGCGTCCGTCTCTGAGCGAGCTCACGTTGGCCCAGATCCCACATGCCTCGCCCCAGAGAGAGAGTTCTCCCGTCCTTTTCTCCCAGTCTGACCAGCGTCCCTCTGCCGGCTCGAGCGATCTGGTCTCATTTGGGGAAGTGAGGACGAGCTGCTTGATGACAGCATGTCATTGGCAGCATTGGATGCAGAGGAGCTGTTGGGCTCGGTGACTGACCCCTCGCCATCGTCCGCGCCCAGCAATGCCAAAGACGGGATGGATGCCGAGCTTCTCTGTATCCTCTCCAAAGTGGTTGAAGAGTTGGGTTTAGAGTGGTCTCCGCCAGAGGAGCCCTCCTGCAGCCATCTGGATGAGTGGTTCCTGCCGGGGCACTGCCAGGCCCCTCGTCAGCGTTCCTCTCCGTTTTTCCCGGAGGTCCATGACGAGCTCACCAGATCGTTGCGCGCTCCCTACCCCGCCCGCCTCCGTACTGCTTCTTCATCCGCCCTCACTTCCATAGTTGGCGCTGAAGAAAAAGGGTACGATAAGCCACCTCCCCTAGATGAGTCAGTGGCCGCGCATCTCTGCCTGCCCACGG